ATTTAATGCAAAAAGAAACCAGTAAAAGTAAGAATAGAGGAACATAAAAGAATGAGACACATAGAAAACAAAAAGTTAAATAAATATGTGTTCAAGTATATCAATGATAACATTAAATGTGAATGGATTAAACAATTCAACCAAAAGGCAGAGATTGTCAGACTTGATTTAAAACAAACAAACAAACAAGATCCATCTATATTCTGTCTACTGGAGACATGTTAGATTCAAAGATACAAATAGATTGAAAATAAAAGCTGGAGGGTGCCTGGATGACTCAGTTGATTAAGCATCTACCTTCTCATGTCAGGATCCCAGGGTCCTGGGATTGCACCCCACATTGAGCAGGGAGCCTGCTTCTCCCTCTCCCTCTGCCTGCCACTCACTCTGCTTGTGCTCTCTCTCTCTGTCAAATAAATAAAATCTTAAAAAAGAAAAGAAAAGAAAAGCTGGAAAAAGATATATCACACATATAGCAAACAAAAGAAAGCTGGAATGATTATCCTAATTTCAGACAAAATAGACTTTATTTATTTATTTATTTATTTATTTATTTTTAAAGATTTTATTTATTTGCGAGAGAGAATGAGAGACAGAGAGCATGAGAGGGAGGAGGGTCAGAGAGACAGAGAGCATGAGAGGGAGGAGGGTCAGAGGGACAGAGAGCAGACTCTCCACTGAGCAGGGAGCCCGATGCGGGACTCGATCCCAGGACTCCAGGATCATGACCTGAGCCGAAGGCAGTCGCTTAACCGACTGAGCCACCCAGGCGCCCCAAAATAGACTTTAAAACAAAAAAAAATGTTACTAGAGATAGGGACATTTTGTAATTTTAAAAAGGCCAATCCGTCAGGAAGATATAACAATTATAAACAAATAAGCACCTAATAAGGGAACATCAAAATACATGAAGCAAAAACTAACAAAAATGGACAATTCAACAATAATAGAGACTTCAATATTCCACTTTAAATATTAGAACAACTAGACAATCAATAAGGAAATGTAAGATTTGAAAACATTGTAGGGGCACCTGGGTGGCTCAGTTGTTAAGTGTCTGCCTTTGGCTCAGGTCATGATCCCAGGGTCCTGGGATTGAGCCCTGGGTCAGGCTCCCTACTCAGCAGGGAACCTGCTTCTTCCTCTCCCCCTCCCCCTGCTTGTGTTCCCTCTCTCACTGTCTCTCTGTCAAATAAAATAAATAAAATCTTAAAAAAAAAAGAATGAAAAGAAAACATTGTAAACCAACTAGACCTGAGAGACAACCATATAGAACATTTGATCCAACAACGGCAGAAGATACATTTTTCTCAGGTGCTCATGGAACATTCTCTAGGATAGGAGTATGGTGGGCCATAACACGAAGCTCAATAAATTTAAAAGGATAGAAGTAATACAACAATGTTCTCTGATCACAATGAAATGAACCTAGAAATCAGTAACAGGAAGAAATTTGAGAAACTCACAAACAGGCAGAAATTAAATGACACACTCCTACATAACCAATGTGTCAAGAAAGAGATCAAAAGAGAAATTAGAGAACACTTTGCGATGAATGAAAATGAAGATACAACATATCAAAGCTCATGGAATGCAGCTGTACAGCAGTGCTTAGAGGGAATTTTGTAAATTTATAACTTACAAATTTTCTAAAGCAGTACTTAGAGGAAAATTTATAGATGTAAATGCCTACATTAAGAAAAAAGGTCTCTTGGGGCGCCTGGGTGGCTCAGTCGTTAGGCGTCTGCCTTCGGCTCAGGTCATGATCCCAGGGTCCTGGGATCGAGCCCCGCATCGGGCTCCCTGCTCAGCAGAAAGCCTGCTTCTCCCTCTCCCACTCCCCCTGCTTGTGTTCCCTCTCTCACTGTGTCTCTCTCTGTCAAATACATAAATAAAATAAAATCTTAAAAAAAAAAAAAGAAAAAAGTTCTCAAAACAATAAATTAATAGGTCTCAAAGTAATAAATTTTCACCTTAACGCACTCAAAAAAGAAGAGCAAACTAAATCTGAACAAGCAGGGAGAAGGAAAGGAAAAGATTGGAGCAGAACTTAATGAAATAAAGACTGTTAAATAATAGAGCAAACAATGAAACCAAAAGCTGGTTCATGGATAACACCAACAGAAGTGACAAACCTTTAGCTAGATTGACCAAGAAGAAAGAAGACTCAAATGTTTAAAATCAGGGGCACCTGGCTGCCTCAGTTGGAAGAGCATGTGACTCTTGATCTCAGTGTTGCAAACTGGAGCTCCATGTTGGGTGTAGAGATTACTTAAAAATAACATCTTAAAAAAAACCTCAAACATTTAAGGGGTGCTTGGGTGGCTCAGTTGGCTAAGCATCTGACTCTTGAGTTCAGCTCAGGTCATGATCTCAGGGGATCGGGCCCCACATCGGGCTCCAGCGCTCAGCTCTGAGTCTGCTTGGGATTCTCCCTCTTCCTTTATCCCTCCCCCCACTCATACTCTCTCTCTCTCTCTCTCAAATTAAAACAAAACAAAACAAAAACCATTTAAAATCAGGGGTGCCTGGCTGGCTTAATTGGTAGAGTATATGACTCTTGATCATGGAGTCATGAGTTTGAGCCCCACATTGGGTATAGAGATTACTTTTAAAAAATCTTTAAAAAAATCTAAAATCAGAAATGAAGTAAGGGACATTACTACCTACCTTTTGAAAGTGAAAAGAATTATAGAATACTATGAACAACTGTATTTCAATAAATTAGATAACAGGTGAAATAGTCAAATTCTTAAAGACTCATGCTATCAAAACTGACTCAAGAAGAATAGACATCTGAGTAGACCTGTTACAAGTGAAGAGATTGAATTAGTAAAAAAAACAAACCAAGACCAAAACCAAAAACTACCCACAACAAAAAGCCCAGGTTCGCCTGGCTTTACTGCTGAATTCTACCAAACATTTAAACAAGAATTAATACCAATTTTTCACAAATTCGTTCAAAAAATAGGAGTGAACACTTCCCAATTCATTCTATGAGGCCAATATTACTGTGATTTCAAAACCATACAGAAACATCACAAGAAAACTACAGAGCAATATTTTTATGAATATGGATGCAAAGTCCTCAACAAAATGCTAGCAAACCTAAATCCAGCAACATATAAAAAGAATCATGCACCTACTAAGTATGTGGGATTTATCCCCCAAAATGCAAGGTTGGTTTAACCATCTGAAAATCAACGTAATACACTTATATCAATAGAAAAAAAACAAAAACCACATGATCATCCTAATAGATGCAGGAAAAGTACTTGACAAAGTGCAACACTCTTGCACGAGAAAAACACTCAACAAACTAGGAATAGAAGGGAACTTCCTCAACCTGGCAAAGGGCATATGTGGCAAAACCCACAGCTAACATCATGCTCAGAAAAAGTATTCATGCTTTCCTGGTAAGATCAGGAACAAGACAAAATATATGCTGTCACTTCCATTCAACATTGTACTGGAGGTGCTAGTCAGGGCATTTGGGCAAGATAAATAAATAAAAAGTATCTGAACTGGAAAGAAAGAAGCAAAACTATATTCACGGATGACAGGATCTTATATATATACAACCTAAAAATCTACAAAAAAGCTATTAGAACTGGTAAACAAGTTCAATAAATTTGGAGGATATAGGATTGATATATAAAAAGCAATTATATTTCTCTACACTGGTAATGAACACTCTAAAATGAAATTAAGAAATTATTCCACTCACACCATGAGAAAGAATGAAATATTTAGGAATAAACTTAAAGAAGCACAAGACTTATACTCAGAAAACTACAGAACATTGCTGAAAAAAGTTTTAAAGATCTGAATAAATGGAGAAACATCCCATGCTCATGTACTGCAAGTACTAACTGCATAGGATTTGTTTTGAATGTGACGAAAATGTTTCAAATTGACTGCAGTGATGGTTGCATGTATCCGTGAAGATACTAAAAACTATTAAATTTTACACTTTAAATGGGTGAATTGTATGGGCTGTGGATTATATACTTCAATAAAGCTGTTTTTTTTTTTTTAAGTTTTTAATTCCAGTTAGTTAATATACAGTGTTATATTCGTTTCAGGTGAATAAAGCTGTTTTTTAAAAATATAAGAAGTAAATATACAGGGGCTCCTGTCTGGCTCAGTTGATCTCAGGGCTGTGAGTTTGAGGCCCACGTTGGGGTAGAGATTATTAAAAAATAAACTTTAAAAAAAAAAGGAAAGGAAATAAACACAGTGATAACTCAGCTTGCTTTGTAGAGTGCCCAGACTCTGAGCATTGCATCCCCAGAGTGGTTCCCACACCCCCTTGGGATGTGGGTGTTTCACTATGATTCTCATTTCATGTGTGAGAAAAAATATATAGAGAAAAGCAAATTCCATGTTTTCATCCAACAAACAATCCTTGAAGCCAAGGAGTTGGCCCTAAGAGGCCACAGTGAAGAAGTGGAATAAAGGAGGGTTCCCAGGTCTCCTGTCCTACTGTTGCCGGCTCTGCCTGTCTGGGCCTGAACTTCAGCAGCCTGGGTTGGCTCCTGGGTCCCACGAGGTCCTGGGGGCACCAGGGGTCTTGTCTGAGGACGTGAGGCTCCAAGACACTTGTTCGTGCATCTGGACCAGTCTGGGCCTCATAGCAACCAGGGGTTTGATGAGGACTCCTGGGAGCAGTCCGCATTCATTGCCTGATCTGGGAAGCCCTGTGGTGTTGGGGCGAGGAGGGAGGGGTCCAGTATTACTGCTCTTCCTCCCAAAGTCATACATACGTCCAAAGTCATGGACCACCTCTTCTCTGAAGCCAGAGCCCAGCTCAGCCTGGACGGGGAATCCGGAGGGGAAGTTCCTCTATCAGAAGATGCTGGGGTGTGGGAGTGGGGGGCCAGGATTTTGAGGGGCGTCTTGGTCTAGGAATTAGCAACTACCTGTGTTTCGATTTCCAGGTGACCATGAGGCCAAACTGGGGTTTTCTCTAATGGGGTTGTGAATTGGGAGAGGGGATGGGAGTCCAGTCCCTTCCCTTCCGCAGGGTTAGGTCAACCTCCCCTCTGGCCTCCCCCATTATTTGTCTCTCCGGGCTCTCTTTCTGAGAGGACCCCAAAGAAGGATCTTGCTGACACCTTGTCTGAGAGACCAGAGACTGAAGCGATGCAGTGAATTCTGAAGGCTGAGAAGCAGAGGGCAGGTCTTTCGGTTTTTAGATCCGGATGTGAATTCCAGGTTCACCCCATCTGGCTGTGGGACCTTGGGCAAGCAGTGCAGCACGCTGAGATGCAGTTTCCCTGGATGTTCAACGGCTCCTTCTGCGCAGTCCGTTTTGGAGGGAAACGTTCAGGAGGGAGGCGGTAGGTCATCGCAATTCCCCAGGCGAGACCAGCAGGCTCAGCCCGCGGAGCTGGAACAAAGGCAAATCCAAGGGTGGGTCAAAGGGCGCCTGGGTCAGCTCCCAGCACTGGCTTCTGCGACCACGGCACGCAGCGGCGTGAGCGACTCCACCGGGGCCGCACCCCTCGCGCCCCGGTCCCCTCGGGTCCCGCAGGGCGGACGCACCCGGCGCCTGGGAGAGGGCGGGCGCGGGAAGGGGCGGGCCCTCGGCTGGGCCGCGAGGAGCGCGGAGCGGCGTGGGGAGCGCGGCCGCCGGGGGAGGCAGGCCGGGGCGCGCAGCCGGGCGCGGGAGTCCATCCGGCTGGCAAGGAACGCAGGCGGCGCCAGGGCAGCAGGGCGAGCGCCGGGGCGGAGGCGGGGCGGGGCGGAGGCGGAACAGGAAGGCACGGGCGGCGCAGCAGCTTCGCCCGGCGCGGAGAGGGGGCTCTTACGCGGCCTGCCCCTGGCGGTGCCCCCCACCCCGCCCCAGGCTCCTGCAGAGGACACGTGTCAGCACGTTCCCGCCGTTGTCGTCTCATCCCATGTCATAGCCCCTCCCCGAGGCCTGGGACCCCCCCCCGGGCCCCATTATCCCCAGGCCCAACCTCCCACGCTGACCCGAGGCCCGGGCCGGGTCCCCCCTCCTCCACCGGCCGGCCTTCCCGGACAGCGAGCGCCCGGGCCCGGCCCCCAGCCGAAGACGCCCGTCAGCGCGTTCTCACCCCTGTCCTCTCAACCCTCTGCCTAGCTCCACCCCGGGCCTGGGAACCCGGGTCCCTTTGGCCCGCTGTCCCTGGGCCCAGCTCCGCGCTGACCGCAGGCTCGGCCCTACCCCCTGCCGGGCGCGTGTCCCCCGGCAGCGCGCCGCAGCCGCCCGGGATGCAGCCCGCAGGCTGGGCGGCCGTCAGGGAGGCGGCGGGCCGCGACGTGCTGGCCGCCGACCTCCGGTGCAGCCTCTTCGTCTCGGCGCTGCGCAGCTACAAGCGCGACTCGGTGCTGCGGCCCTTCCCCGCGTCCTATGCCCGCCGCGACTGCAAGGACTTTGAGGCCCTGGTGAGTGTGCTTCCCTCCCCTTCCTGCGCTGTCCTCTGCGTCCCAGGCCACGTGGCCTGAGGACCCGTAGTGGTAGACACGCCAGCCCCCAGACTTAACATTCCCAGCCTGGCCTTAGGGAAGGTTTCCATGAGCTCACAACACTCACCCGCACTCTAACATCGACACTCCCAAGGCTTTTGGTGGCTGCTTCCTCATGTTAGTGACAAGTGACTCCCAGGAGTGAAGTGAGAATTCAATAGGTGCGTAGGCCTCCACAAAATTTCTTAGCATGGTCAGCAGTAGGGGGTAGAGGTTGATCTGAATCAGATGCTTCTGCTAAATAAAAAGTTACTCATCCCTTTGCAAGTAATCAGACACCAAAAATCACCAAAGCCACCCAGACCTTGATCTTCAAATGATATATGGGCAGTACTTGTATAAATTGTAACATACAGTCCGCATGTCAGCTGTTACTTATCCCATGATTCACAAGGCACTTAATTTCTTACAGAGTTCACCTCAGGGTCAGCATTCCAGATATCAGTTGTCTTTGTAATTCAAATATTTGGAATTTCCTAGACAGATATAATTTACCAAAATTGATTCTATAAGAAATAGAAAATCAAAATACCCTGTAATCATTAAAGGCATTGAACGAGTAGTAAAAGATTTTCCCTCAAAGAAAACTCCGGACCTACCTGGTTTCCTTGGCGAATTCTACCAAACACACCAGGGGAATACGTGCTTCCAGTTTTACTTTGTGTAAAATTCTTTCAGAGTATTGAAAAAGAGGCTAATATAAGTTTGATCTAAATCTGATATATCAGGATAACACAAGAAAAGAGAATTACAGGCCAGGGTCACTCATGAGTATAAATGTAGAAATCCTTCATAAAATATTAGGATCCTGAATCTAGCAATGTATAAAAAGAATAATTCCCCATTAACAGGGTGGATTTATCCCAGGAATCAAAATTAGTTAAACATTAAAAAAAAAAATCAATGAATGTTATGAATCATGTTAACAGATTAAGGGAGATGTTTAGAATCAACAGATGTTTAGAATTTTCTCTGATGAAGTGGTCAGGGTTAGATTCCCTCTTTGCTCTCATTCTTAAGAGGTCTAGGGACAAAGGCCCAGCCTCCTGACCCTTACCTGGTCCATTGCAGCCCAGGCCAGGGATGTGTTGAGGGTACCTCAGGCCTTGACCACAGGGCATAGGCATTTCAGGGTGCTGCAGGGAGCGGGGGTTGGAGAAAGATAAGCCAACTGACTTCCCCCATGGTTTGTTCTGAAAATTCAGATATTCAGTTTTGTGAGTTTGTGATATCAGAGCCTTGGGGATGAAATGTCCTTCAGTTTTGTCAGGAGATGATGGAGTGGGCTGCTGTGGGCCAGGTGCTAAGGGTACAGAATTAAGACCCAAGGAGAGATTTACAGTGTGTTCAGCTGCATTATGGGGGTAAGCCTGTATATACAACCTGGAAGCCCAGAGCCAGAATCCCAGTCCTTGGCAGTGCACTGGGGTCAGGGGCCATTGGTTGATGCCATGCTGAGTCCCTAGGGACATGGAGGATTTTTTTTTTTTTTTTTTTGAGGAGCAGAGAGCAGGAAAGGGGCATTCCAGGAGGAGTAGCAGGATGGGCAGAAAGCCAGGAGCTCATCAAGAAGGACAAGTCTGTGCTTTAGTGTGGCTATCAAGGGGAACAGGAAGAGATGAGGTTGACCAGAGCACACAGAGCTGGGCATGTTTTGCCAAAATGTGTTGATTTTACCCTTGGGCAGAGGAGGGCATTGGTGAGATCCAGGATGCATTTTTTAAAAGATTTTATCTATTTATTAGAAAGCACACAAGTCGGGGGTGGGCAGAGGGAGAGGGAGAAGCAGACTCTCTGCTGAGCAGGGAGCCCGATGCAGGGCTCTATTCTAGGACCCCGAGATCATGACCTGAGTTGAAGGCAGATATTTAGCTGACTGAGCCGCCCAGGCACGCCCAGGATGCATTTCTGAAAGACCCCTGGGGTGGCAGGGTCTGAAAGACCCTCTGTTTCAGGAGGGGTAGACAGAGGAGGAGAGATTAGGGTCAGAGGGACCAAACTCACCAGAGATGGTGCCCCACAACGCACCTTATTAATTTTTACCAAGAAGCATCTAAATGGACTAGAATGCTCAATGTGTTCTTTTCCTGCTGGAAGGTCTTGATGGCAAACAGAATCAGGTTTGACGAATATGGGACAAAAGCAAAGGGAGCTTTGGAATTGTTTTGATGTGTTTATGCTTTTTACAAATTTATTTTTAATTATGCAAACAATGGTTGGATATATTTTTGTGATAAAAAATACAAATGGTACTGATAAAGTAAAAGTGCCCCCCTATTCCACATCCCCCCCATAGGTATGAGTGCTCTCAGTTGAAGGCACTTTCTTCCTTCCTCTCATACCTATAACCTCTTAGGAGAGCATTGGCGATTCAGGTAACCCCAAATAGCCACTCCTTTTAGGGACAGACTGTCCAGGCATGGGGCTCATTGTGCCAGTTCTAGCCAGGGCGCCCTTTCTCCCAGGGGTCACTGGAGAAACATGGACAGGTTCTTCCCATCCTGTTCTGGCACCATATTCCTTATTGGGCACCATTGTGAGGGAAGCTAGCCCAGGCTGAACAGCTTCTTGGCTGTGTGTAGGCATGGTTTTAACAAGCAGTTTCCCTGGAGAAGGCCACTCACCAGGCAGGGCCTGGCACAATGTCTGCTGGGGGCATGCACATATTCTTAAATAAATATACTTTAGGTTTTTGCCACATGTTACATGAATTAGAGAAAAGATGCAGAGAACTTGGTATCTGGACCTGTATCTGACTCAAAGCTTAGCTTTTTATTAAGTAAACTCTACCCCCAACGTGGGGCTTGAACTCATGACCCTGAGATCAAGAGTCCTGTGCTGTACTAACTGAGCCAGCCAGGTACCCCTCAAAGGTTAGCTTTTAGAGAAAAGGGAATCAGGTCCGGACTTGGCCTTCTGGATTATTTTGTGGTTACCTGAAGAAGGAAGGCATGGAGCTGTTAAAAAGTCTCTCATTGTTAGCTAAAAGCACTTGGAGATAATGTGAAACACTGTATCATTTCCAGCCATTTTTAATTCATTTTCTCTCCACCATCATTACACACCCCTATAACACATGTGTTGCCCTTTCCAAAACTTACAGCTCTGGCTGAATTACTTTATTGACTGTGGCTTTCCTGAGAATATCCCCTACTGAACCAAGCTCTTGGCTTTAGGCATGGCTCTCGCCTTATTTTGTCACAGCCCCCAAAGCCCCAAATCATCTCTCAGTCCCCTTATTTGGAGAACATTTCCATTCTGAGTCAGCTCTTCAATTTTGCACTGAGAGTTCTTTGTATTCCCAGGGTCTGGCCTGAGTCGTGCTTATCACATGTTTGAGGAATCAAATTAGGTATGTGCTGATTGCCTCTGACTGAGGGTTTCTAACCTTGTTCCTTGGGAAGAGGGTTGGCTAAGCTCTTACTAGGTCAGAGAATCTCTAAGATTCTCGGGATGTCCAGTAGCCCTGACCATTGACCACTGAACCTCAGGTTGAGCTATCCTGGGCACAGTTCATATTCCCGAGTTGCTTTACACAGAATCTTGTCACTGGTGTCACAGCTGTTAAGTTTTTTGTTTTGTTTTTCCCCTGGAAAACATCATGCTCTGGTTCACCATTAGCCGGAAGACCCTTTCTGAGAGTAGGAGGTCAGGGGGAATGGCTCCTTTGTATTAATTCCAGCCCCTTGCCACCCAAAGTGTGGTTGAAGACCAGCAGCATCAGCATCACTTGGGAGCTAGTTAGAAATGCAGAATGTTGGGCCCCACCCCAGACCTACCCAATCAATACCTGCATTTTAATAATATTCTTGGGCATATGTGTGCACTGTAAAGTCTGAGAAGCACTGTATCTAGCCTACCCCATTCCCATCTACTATTTGGGGGGCTGAGCTGTACTAATCGACTCTTCTGGTTCTGGTCTGTGGCTTGTGCTCTCTAACCAAGCTGACTCCCCAGTGTCTGGGTTAAAACATAAATAAGCTTCTCTCTGTCCTGACCCCAGGGAATGCCTGTCCTCTCCATGCCATCCCCCTCTTTGTCCAGACAAACTCTCCTTAATCCTTTAGGACATAACTAGAACCTCATCTTACCACCTTATTCTCTGTCTCTACCCCCAGCAGTTAGGAGTCCTTCTTCTGGGATCCTTTACAGTTTAAAAAATTTTACTCTTACAAATACTGCTATGATAAACTACCTTGTACAGTAATCATTATTTATATCTCTAGTTATTTTCTTGAGATAAATTCCAAAGGGTGAAATTGCTGGCTCAAAGGGTAAGCAACCTTTCTAAGCAAGGCTTATACAGATATAAAAAGATTTGGATCAGACGTAGGTATGTGGCGTGACTGTTGGTGGGTATGTGGCTAGAAAGATGTCTCAGCCTGTAGGATGATGATATGGAGAACCCAGGGGTGGGATCATCCTTCCAATACAGACTGCCTCCTTCCTTCCCAGCCATCCCAGAAATGTAGGCTTTTCCTTATTGAATTGGTGAGCAGGAGAGAGGTGGTGTTTGATTAATAATAATACAGTACCTAATGCTTATATAATACTAACAGCACTTACTACCTGCCTGGCACTCTTCTGAACTGTTTCTACATGGAACTCATTTAATCTTCTTAACAACTCCGTGTTATGGGTTCTCTTAGCATCTCTGTCGCCATCAGCTAGTCAGTCTATGTGCTGGCGTTAGACCACCCTCCAGCTCCCAGATAATGGTGGCATGTAGCCAGAGAACCATTCCTTTAAAGGGACCCCACAGTGACTGCTTTTGTGAAGAGTTCTCTTATAGACTCTGACCCCCAGTCTGTTTTAATGAATCTGGATGTTCAGACCTTAGGTTTGTACAAAGCAAGGTATATCTGCCCCCAATCCCACACGCACTCCGCTGTTCCAGGTGTCACTTTATCGGTTTGGTC